AGGGTCTTGTGTTATTGTGAGAGCTAAGACAGGGTCTTGTGTTATTGTGAGAGCTAAGACAGGGTCTTGTGTTATTGTGAGAGCTAAGACAGGGGTCTTGTGTTATTGTGAGAGCTAAGACATGGTCTTGTGTTATTGTGAAAGCTAAGACATGGTCTTGTGTTATTGTAAAAGCTAAGACAGGGTCTTGTGTGATTGTGACAGTTAACATACTTCTGATATCTTCTTGTTCAGTTTGCATTTTAAGTTTGATAACATTGAGCTCTATTTTTATAGTACTTAATCTGACTTCACAAAATATGCATAATTGTGGCACTTAAAAATATCAATATTAATGACTAAATGTGATACACTTATTTGATTATAAAAACTTATTTAGAATTATACTTTTATGAATTTCATGGACATTATGGGTTATGTTTCTGCTGTCCACATTTAATGTTTCTTGATAAATAATTATTTTTCAGTGGAGAAGTTCTAGATAGTTGTATTGCAGTGTTGACTAGACGGGAAGATGGAGCAGCTCGAATCCTTCAACTTTTATCGTTCCCATTCTTTGAACTTCAATACTCCGTTAGTTTATCAGAGTGCTCAATATTAGCTCGTGGCTTTCAGAACCAGGTGTGGAATAATCTTATCATGTAAAAAGTTGTGTGTGTGTTCTAAATGTATTGAAAACGAGGAATAGATATTGTGGCTGCAATATACAGAAGTTAAGCAAATCAAGGATATTAGAGACATAAGTAATAGTAGTTGTGTGTCATCCAAAATTTAGTTGTTTATTTTGTTTTTTATCATTGTTGAAATCCATCAATTGTCACTGTAGGAAATAGCTTATAGTAAGGTTATACTAACTGGTTATCATAGTTAGTAATGTATACAACCACCTAAATCTAATGATAAATAGCTTATAGTAAGGTTATACTAACTGGTTATCATAGTAAGTAGTGTATACAACCACCTAAATCTAATTATGAATAGCTAATAGTAAGGTTATACTAACTGGTTATCATAGTTAGTAGTGTATACAACCACCTAAATCTAATTATAAATAGCTTATAGTAAGGTTATACTAACTGGTTATCATAGTAAGTAGTGTATACAACCACCTAAATTTAGATGTTTTTTTTTTACATTCTTAGTGTTTGTGTAGATTATTTTTTTACATTCTAAGTGTTTGTGTAGATGTTTTTTTTACATTCTAAGTGTTTGTGTAGATGTTTTTTTTACATTCTAAGTGTTTGTGTAGATGTTTTTTTTACATTCTA